AGGGCGGGGGGCATGGGGCCACACCAGAGGTGAACGGAGCAGAGGAGGAGCAGTGGCACCATGAGGCACTGGGTGGCAGCACTCTGTCCCCCCCTGTTCCCGCCTGACCATCATTCATGACTGGCAATCTGCTACTTCTAAAATAATCTTCCAAATGTGAAAAACTTTCCTGTATATCAGGATGTCCTCCATTACCACCTCTCCTTTTCTCCCTCTCAAAAAAGGATAAGGAAAACAAATGAGTTTTGCAGAATGTTTTGAAGAACACCAATATCAATGTGGTAACCCAAGGTGAAAACTGAGTTTTAGAGCCCAAGCTCCCTTGGTAAGAATGAACACGTGCCTCATTACACACCAAGGTACTGCTAGCTAAATTGATTCAGAAGTATGCAGTTGCCAAAGTTGCATGTAAGGATAGAGGCCATAACCCAAGTAGAAGGAATACAATCCAAAAAGAGTTTGAGATCAAAACTAATACCTTAAACTCATAATAAAATTTACTGGGAACAACTGAAGGTCAGAAAGGAGATGGTCAACAATGATCTCATTGAGAAGAAGAGTACAGTCAGACTACAGTATAACCATTTTGCCTTTGTCCTTCCTCTTTCCTTTCCTTTCTCTTGTCTATGTATGACTCTTGATTATTTCAGAGCAAACTTTATACTGTACATTCTTAAGACAGAGGCTGTACTATTACTTTTTTTTACAAGATTTCTAGCACATTTTTTAAATGTGAAAAAATATTAACATACAGAAACTCAAAAGGTAAAATGTGCTTGCCAAGTGCCAGATCACAAGCTACGGTAACTAGACATTCTAAAGGGTTTGAATATGTAATGCTCAAAGAAAATATGAACTGATCCAACCTTAGTGTAAACAAACCTTATTTTTTATGATACCACCATATTTTAGGCCTGACTATATGGCACCTTGCAATGTGAGTAGCTTCCCTGAAACTTAAAAAAAATACAGTCAGAACCAGGGGCAGATCCAGGAGTGGGGTGCAGTGGTACAACTACACCCCCTTTGATTCCTGGTCCACCCAAAGTTTGGAACCAACTGCCTGGCAGTGGCAGTAGCATTCCTATTCTGGCATCAGTGAGGGAGACTATTTACCTCATGGCTCATTATGATCAACCCAAATCGTTCTAAACTATTAATTCCACAGGTGTTAATGACTCCCTCATGCCTTTTTAGTGGCCTTGATGTTCCTCTAATCAAGCTATCCTTTTTTCTGCAATTCTACTCTCTGTTAGATGTTCCTGGTAATACGGCTTCTATTCCACAACCCTGCAGACTCAGCCTGTTTTTAACCCTGGCTAAAAGCATTAACCCAGGTATGGAAATAATTTTCAGTGAAGTATCAGATGCACTGTCAAGATGCTCAGTAAGGCTAGATTTTGTTTTATGAATCCGAAAGAGATGCATTTTTTAAAACTAATAACTACAGGATTAAACAAAGTATTTTGATTATTTGTCTAGCCTGTTGTGTTTTTTATACATTATATATGATGATGCAACACACCATCTGCACCCCCCTTTTCAAAATCCTTGATCTGTCTATGGTCAGAACCATGAAAAAAATATCTAAACTTTAAACACTGTTGAGACTAATGAGAGTATAAACAATTTAAATATGGTTTTTAACAAAGAAACTTCAGTTAACATTTTTTTTTGGTACAGCAGAGTTGAAGTTCAGCCCTCTCCTAATTAGTTGTCATCCTTTTTTTCTTTTTAATTCTCAACAGTATCTGTTTATAGTTACTTTGGAATCTTACCGGAAAAGTAATAAGATCACGCTGTATTTTTAACTTGCAGAGGGCAGATAATTTATTACAATCTGTAACCCTTTCTGGAATTTGGGTATAATCCAGACCTTTTGGAATTACCTCCATATATAAATCTAGTATATGACTTTTCATCCTAGAAGGCAACTTTATGATCTTTTTCTCTTTTGCACTACTGTAATATTCCTGGCTGGAGATATTTTCTTGACCTCTAAATAATGTAGTCTTTAGTGCTAGTGGTTTTAATTGGATTGAAAATAACTTTCTTTCAGTGAAATAGATTTTAATTTTCACCTTGGGCTAAAAATCCTAAAATCAACCTGCTTTTGTTCTCCTGGGAAATGGGATCAGGTTTTTGCTGAGGGGCACAGAGGGAGGGAAATGTATTACTTGAACCGTTTCAAAGACTATCCAAAAATATTTTGACTAATTATGGCGAATACACAACTTCGTAAAATAAATTACTAAGGCCCTAGTGTACATTAAAACAATGATTTAACTGGGACTGGAGGGATTTTATGATCCATCCCAAATATCACACCTCCTGTCATGCCAACTGATCATTGGCCCCAGCCCTGGATTGGGTTAAGATCCCAGGCTACCCAGAGCCAGGGCTGATAAGACAGTCGATTGTTTTCATCATCCACTGGACAGCCCAGGCCGGGCAGTGCTACAGGTTCAATTTATGACATCATACAAATGAGCCACAAATGTTCCACATTGTGTGGAATAACTTTGTGGCTGGTTTTCCACTTCATGGCACCATAAATTGGCTGAATGTGTACTGTTGTTGTTATTCATGGTGCACTGAATATATTAATCTCCCCATAACTGGAGCTTGTGCCGGGAGCCTTAGTCAGACTCCTGAATTTAAGTGCAACATTAAAAAACACTACTCAATTTCTGTTATGACAATTACTGGAATGCTTCAGAAGCTTTTACATTCTTTTCTAACTGCTAGCCTGAACAACAATTTGCTTAAGTGGCCTGCAATCAGTTATATTAAAACAAATCCAATACTACACCCATTTTGGAGAAATTTAGGCATCCTGACTGAGACAGAGAAACCACATATCCTTTAAATAGGGCCATTTTTGCTCATGAAATGTGTGGCAATGTACATTAAGTTAATTATTTAAAGCCAACCTGAAAACCCAGATGTTTCTTTGTTTTTTAAACATTCATAACATGGAAGCTTCTGATAACGAGAAAAAAAACAAAAGAAAAGGGGTAAAAAAACAGTAAAGAGCACATATGACCTTTTTCAATACTCAGGTCACTGAGAAATTTGATAGAAAAATATAGGAGTATGTCATTTAAATACCTTCATATCAGCTAAATAAGCAACAGGCTTTCAGACAAGAGAACCAAAGTCAGTGGAAACTGTACAGTGAAGTGTTGTGACAACTTCAGATTAAATAATACATGTGAAAAAAGGAATTTGTAATTACAAGACGTAAATGGAATTAGTGTTGCAATCAAAGTCCAATCCAATCCAAACGCTCATAGGTAAACTAAATTAATGTCCTTCTATTGCACTCAGCAGATTACAGAAATTTTAAACAAGACAGCAGGGAATGTAAACGACAACCCAAAGGAATAGGGTAGAATGAGCAGCAGGAGGGAGGTATCCCCACCCCCAGCTTCTCCACATTCCCATTTACCAGGTCAGGGAGAATGGGCCTATCTAATTGGTTCTCCCCTTCACCATATAGGCACCTTCCATATTGCCTAAAGTTTTTAGTTCCTGCCCCCATTCCCAAACACAGTTTGATTCTGTGGGTTCATATCTGGAAAATGATTTCCTACTGGATCAAACTGGCTAAGAAATCGGAAGGGGTTTCCATCTA